AAGATTTGTGAGGGCTCAATAAGTGTCAGGAGCTTTATGTGCAACATCTAATTTGGTCCTTATAACAACTTCATAACAGATGAGAACATGGAGACACAGAGGGGCTCATGCAAGTTACTTAACTCACCCAAGTTGGAAAAACTAATAAGCGGCCAAATTTAATCCAAACATTCTGACTTGACAGGCTGTGCATGTTATAGCTTTGCTTTGCTGACCCTAAAAGTGCTCCATAAATACTAGATGCATTGATATGCAGGTAGTCACAAGAGCAATGCTTCTGAGAATGAGTTTCTGCATTCTTGAGATCTAATCTTTGCCAGGCCAAGCACCCAGATGGTGCTTTGACACTGAAACTGAGACACAGGGTGCAGTATGCCTGGCTCCTTCCCCAACTTGCCTGCTTCTGTAGCTGACCCTTGCAGGGCAGAGTGGGCATCAAAGGCTGCAGGGACTGGGTAAGGGCAGCCCGCAGGCCCTTCATTGGCCAGGCCCCATCAAAGGCATCTGTGCTGGGCTCTGCTCTACTCCAAGGCTGGGTAGATCAAAGGGCCCTGTGCAGAAGTTGGGTTTCTGGGCAGCCCCAGTTCTGATCATCAATTGTCACTTTGGCAGTGACAGCAGAGAGTCCAACATGACAAGCCTGCCACAGTCAAGGCTCCTGGGGCGGACATCAGAGTAGCAGCTCCAAAGGCCAAGAAGCTGCCTGAAGCCCCTCTGGGCCTTGACCCCTGGTGGGAAGAGAGGAAAGAACTAGAGGAGCCCCTAAGGAAAATGTTTGGAGAAGGATCACTGAAGTTGCTGCAGGCAAGAAACCTGACCTTGGCATTGATATTTTTGCCACTGAACCATGAGATCTGATTACCTCATGTTGCTGGGAAGTACTGTTGACACGTCTGTACATTTGCTCTCATGTGCATGTGCACAAACATACTCATAAACCTAAATACACACACCTGAATCACTGTCCCAGATGTACATGCATTATAAACATGTATATTCTCACACAAACAGAAACAAAATTGTTCATATACTCATTCTCCCTCAAACTCATCACACTTACCTACATATCTATGTGTGCACATTTATACATCCCTGTACATCCAGACTCCAGTCTATTCTCCACATAGTAATGAGGGAAGTTCTGTTAAAACATGCCTAGAAGCTGGGTACAGTGGTGTCCACCTAAAATCCCAGTGTCTCAGGAGGCTGAGGTAGGAGGATATCTGGTTCCAGGCCCCCCCGGGCAACTTAGCGAGAACCTGTATCAAAATTTAAAATTTTAAAAAGCCAGGGGGAAGGACCTGGGGATGTAGCTCAGTGGTAGAGTTCCCTGGGTTCAATCTTCAGTATCAAAACAAAACAAAACACCATAAAGATGCAAATACATAATAACCACACATGCATACATATCTGCTCATTCACTGAGCATATACTCTTTAAAATATATTCAGCCAGCTTCTAGGCCCTAAGTCCAATATTTCCCTCTATGAAGGGTGAGAATCATCTTCAAAATAGGGTTTGCACGCAGGAATCACCTGTTACACAGAACCTGTTGCCACTCATTCCTTATCTCCTCTGTAGAAAAATCTAGAATAAATGTCTAAAATTGTTCCAAATAGGATGTTAGCTCATGGAAAGAACTTCCTGCCAATAAGAATTATGAAAAACATCAGCACATTGGATTTCTGTTCATTGAGGAATATTCAATTGCTAGAAATTTGAACCAACTGGAATATCAACTTTGTCTCAGAAAATAGGCATTTTCTCAGAATCAACAGATTTTGAAAATATAAAGCCTAACTGAAAAATCAGGAATTTATTATAATTTGGGAAAATGAAAACACTTTAGTTTAAAAGGCAATTAATTTCAGAATTCCATTTAGTTTAAGATTTAACCAATGAACATAATTAGAACAGTTTTGGTTGTAGAGTTTGAGTCTTGTTCAAGCACTGTCTCATTCCTGACCAAAAATCACATGACTAAGAAAAGTAGCAAAGGAGCCTTTAAAACCAGTCCAGGTGTCACCCGCTCTGAACAGTCCTCCTGACCCTTCCCTGAGGAAACTAGAGTAGACACTTGTAGGGGACAGTGTTATGGCCCCCCCAGTGCCCCCTCAGGACCTGGGCTTCTAGAAGTATTGGCAATTGATGAATCACAGAGGAACCTCTCTCTAGGACTTGCCCTCACAGAAGGAGGCCACCTGCCTCATGCTATGCCTCCTTCTTGGGGGTGGCATGCCTCCAATGATGGGCTAATGAGGGGGCTACAAAAGGTCTAGCCCTTTTGTCAAATTGGATAATAATATAGGATTGCCTCAGCTCCCAAGATTCCTATGGGTCAGCTGAGGCCTCTGTCATGACTGCATCACAGTAAAACTTCTCCCCAGGTACCTTCACTCCCTCACAGGTATTATTCCTGAGAGTGCTCCTCAAATAACCTCCAACCCTCAAATCCTGTAGGGGCAGAAACAGTCCCCCCACAAACTTGACCTAGCAGCATCTTTCCTTAATGTGCCTACTTTCCCATGTTTTCCTGTCTTTTTCTTACACTGCATATCCAAACATCAGCAAATGTATTAAAAGCTTATCCCTAATTTCCCCATCTCTTACCATCTTCATGGGTACTGCTCTAAGAGCCACTGTTACCTCTATCCTGGATCTTCTGCAATTGTCTCCAAAATGGCCGCCATACTTCATTCAAGATCTCACATAGTAAATAGGGTAATCCTGTGAGAAATAACTTGGCCATGATATTTCTTTGCTCAAAATCTTGCAGTAGCTTTCTATCTTATTAAAAAAAAAAAAATCAAAGTCCTTATTATGCCCGCTAAACCTCCATCCTCCAAGGCTTTCTGGTTTCCTCCCTCTGTGCCTTTATCTCTTGCTTCCTCCTTCCTCGTTCATTTATTTTCTGCCCCAGGACTTTCCCTGCTGCTCCTTGAAATCACCAAGCCTGTTCCTGCCTCAGGGTCTTTGTACTTGATGTTCCCGCTTCCTGTAAGCTTGGGACTTAATCCTTCACTTCATTTGGTTCTCTCCCAAGTGTTCCTTTAACTGAGAGCCATTGTCTAATATGTCACAGTCTCACCTACCTCTGCCCCCTTTTCTTGCTGACATTTCTTCATAGCACTTATCACCAGGGAACATGTTATATTTTGGATATGATGTGTCCCCCAAAGCTCCTGTATTGGTAATTCAGGGATATTGGGAGGTGAAATGATTGGATTGTGAAAGCTGAAACTTAATCAGTCCATCCTTGTTTGAATGAACTGCCTGAGTGTTAACTGTAGGCAAGTGGGACTTGGCTGGAGGAGGTAGGTCACTGGGGTCGTGCCCTGGAAAGGTGCATCTATGGCCCTTTTCTCCCTCTTACTCTGTTTCCTGACCAACCACAAACAGAAGAGTGCACCTTCACCATGCCCTTTGGCCATTATGTCCTGCCTCACCTTGGGCCCAGAGCAATGGACTTGATCTATCATAGACTGAGATCTCTGAAATTGTGAGCCCCAAATAAACTTTTCCCATCTCTAAGTTTTCTTGTCTGGTATTTTGGTCAAAATTATGCAAAAACTGACTAAAACAAACATATTATGTACTAATTTATTATCTATGTCTACCCAGCACAAGTGCATGGGCTTTGACTAAGTTGTTACTATATCTCTAGTACCAGGATCCAAGTGGAAAGAAATCGATAGCAGAACACAAAGAGAAACAAGTAAGCTAATCATTGGTTTAACAGTCAAAGTCCTAGCCTAAACAATAGATTAGAAAGAATACTTACTAAAAATATAAAATTTAACAGAGCTGGGAGAGTTGGCGGAGAGTCAGAGAGGAAGTTACTAAAGTGTGTCTATGAGAGGAGTCTGTGTCCTACTTGCCTAGGGTGAACCTGGGCATGGGAAGGGATGAGAGTTTTCCCCTCTAGTTCTGGTGTCTGGGAACAAGGATTCTTGTGCTAAACTTCCTGTCTTCAGCCTGGGACAATGGCAATGTCCCAGAATTCTCCTGATATCTACCAGGGAAAGAACAGGAAGATTAGTGACTTGGGACAGGTAGGCCCAGAATATAACTCAGATCCATTGAATTTGCTATAAAATGAGGCTAAATAATCTACAAAAAGTAGAGTCTAGAACTGTCTGGAAAGAAAAAAGGCCACACGATGACATTGATGTGAACCAATAGCCAGAGGCTAGGAACCTGATACGGAAATATGACTTGATGACAGTCACTGCCACCTTCTCCCTGTTCTCATCCGATCCCCACCCTATAATCTACTATGTAGCTCTTCTCCATGCAGATTTCAGATGATAATATAGGGAGAAGAAAAAGAGGAAGAAACCCCCATGAACCAAGATTACATTTCTGTTAACAGACTTCTCAAGTTTATGGAAAATAAATTTACTTTTTGCACAGCAATCCTGTGAGTTGGGAGATTATGCCAGCCACCTAAACCTGTTGCAATAGCATGCTAACCGATCTCTCTGCATCTACTTCCAGTCTCTCCAGTTAACCCCAAGGACTAGAGGTAACTTTCTAAAACATGGATGTGACCACATCTTTATTGGTGAAAATCCAGGTTTTCAAGTAAGCAAATCTGAGTTCACATTCTGACTCTGCCATATGCCAACTATGTGACTTCAGGCAATTTGCTCAAACATTGTGAGCCTCAAGCTTCTCATTCCATTATGAAGTGGAATAATCCCCAGGGCTAGCTCACTGGATGTCATTAGGAGACAATAAGACTATACAGGCCCTGGCTCAGATTATAATTCAGTTCATATTGACCCAATCCTACTGTATCATGGTATCTATCACCTCCTTGGCTTTGTGTATGTGATTCTCCTCTCCCTCCTCCAAAAAGGAAACAAAAAACTTCATCCTTCTATAATTTATCTTTTAGGCAAAAATTGGGTACCTCCTTTGTACCCTCCCACAGGTTAGGTTTAGGGGTTTTACAGTGGTACCTTCAAGCTCAGCCTAATCATAGCATTTAGCCCATATTATCTGATGATTTATCCATGTTCTTTAAAGGCCAGAGGCAATGCTTGGCCCCCAGGTCTCCTTATAACCTTGAGTTCCCCAAACAGAGAGGGCCCAAGGGATGAGAGAAACCTCTTCTTAAAGGCAATTGTCAGGAGAGAGTTCAGAGGTCAGGTTAAAGAAGTGATGGGCTTACAGTCTTGCCCCTGGTTCCTCTGAGAGTCCTCCACCCTGACCCATGGGCACAGGGAAGCCTGGCATCCCAGCAGGTGGGGACACAGGGTTTTCAGGTCAACTTTCATCTTTGCAAATAGTGTTTGTCCCTTTGATCCTTGAGCAGATCAAACAAAGCTCAGTAATCAATGACTTCCCTCCTTGCCTTTCAGAGCAGATCATCAAACACATCCTGCATCTCTCTCTGCTTCCCTCCTGCCCTGCCTGTTTTCCAGCCAGAGGCATGTGCTCAGGCCCAGCCTGTGGCCTACCCATCACCCCCACCCAGGTAGAGCAGGCATGATCACTGTTTAATTTCTTTAATTCACATCAATATAGAGAAATATTAGGGCTCCTTGATACATCCTGGTTGCTTACCTTTTGCCTGGGCCCTTGTACGGCATGGATTGAAGCTTACACTACGGTTGCCTCATACTGGTCTAGGAAACATCTAGAACCAGGAAAAAGATGAACAGGGTGGGTCACCAAGCAAAGATGAATCTTTCTGCACTTGTTTCCCATTTTTGTAACTGTAATATTATTTTCTATACCACCTCATAAGGCTGAAATGAGGACACAGACAGTTTAATAGATGTCAAAGTTCACAAGGAATTATGGAGTTCTAAATACATACAGATGTCCTTGACTTACCATGGGGTTTTGTCCAAATAAACTTACTGTAAGTTAAAAATATCGTAAGTCAAAATGCATTTTAAACACCTCGCACCAAGCATCACAGCTTAGCAACAAGTATTAGCTGTTTCCCTCATGGTCACAGGGCTGACTGGGAGCTGTTGCTTGCTCCCCTACCCAGTATTGTAACACAGTATCACGCATACTGCTAACCAGGGAAAAGATCAAAGGGCAAAATGTGGAGTACAATGTCTACTGAATGTGTATTTCTTCCGTGCCATCATAAAGTCAAAAACTCCTTAAGTTGAACTATTCCAAGTTGAGGACCTTCTTTGCTGGGTTCATTTAGTCCTTCTTGTCCTTACATATTGTGGCTCGGGCAGGCTTCTGGAAGAATTAGGGTGAGCAATCTTCCCGGCTTGCCCATGACTAGAGGATTTCCTGGGGTCCAGGACTCTCTGTTCTGAAGCCAAGAAAATGCCAGACAAATCTGAACAAGTTGATCACCCATCATAGAGGTAGGTCTTGAGAGGGCCAAATTGTGTTTTTCCAAAATTCTTCTGTTGAAGCCCTGACATAGAATAATTCAGAATGTGACTATGTTGGGAGACAGGACCCTTGCGGGGGTGATTAAGTTAAAACAAGGTTATCAAGGTGGGCTCTATTCCACTCTGACAGGTGTCGTTATAAGAGAAAATCTGGACACAAAAGAGACACCAAGGATGAGCACACACAGAAAAATGACCGTGTGAGGGCACAGCAAGAAGACAGCCATCTGTAGGCAAGGGGAAAACTCAGAAGACACCAAACCTACTGACAACTTGAACTTGGACTTCTGGTCTCCATAATTATGAGAAAATAAATTTCTGTTGTTTGAGCCACTCAATCTGTGATATTTTGTTATGGCAGCCCAAGGAGACTAATGCAGTGCCCCTGAAGAAAGAGCAGTAATAAAAGCTAACAATTTGGGGGCAATAAACTAACATATATTAACATATTTAGTGCTGGGAAAAGTATAAACGGCAGCCGCACCCCAGAAAAAAACCCCAACATGGTGCCTAACGTTCTTCTCTTCCTACTTTCCCCTTTTTTTTCACTGGCTTGAAAAGTTCCCGCAGGTGTGAACTCTCCCGCTGGCGCCAATTTCAAATCTTCAAATCTCGCTGGCGGGGAACCTTAGCCCCAATAAGAACTAATTCCTGGGCTCCGGAGCTGATATCTGGAAGAACTTGCCAATAAACGGGTGGGTGGCCTGCCATTTATCTAAGCCCTGCCATCTCTCCTTAGATCTATATAAGCACACAGCCTTTTGCAATAAAATTGGAATTCTCCCGGCGAAGTGTCTTATGTGGAGGATTCTTTCATTTAGTACCAGGGATTGAACTCAGGGGCACTGGACCACTGATGCACATCCCCAGCCCTATTTTGTATTTTATTTGGAGACAGTTGCTGAGAGCCACAGCCAAGTTGGAATGACGCATGGCATTTTTGCCAGAATGGAGTGGTTGAGAGGTGATGCCAGCAAGCCATTGAGATGATGATGGTTATGTTAAGCTGTGTATTCAATTGTATATTAGACCCCTGCGGTCCACCTGGGCCTGCTACTTTGGAGTTCTCCTGCTACTTTGGAGTTCTCACGGGGATTCCTACAGAGTTCCCAGAGTTCGAGTTGGTTGGGGAAGTACTGGAGGAGGGATTTCCGGTTGGTGGTGTTTCTGGAAGGGTCGCGTGGGTGGTGTTCGCGGGAGTTCGGGCAAAAAAGAAGTTCCTGTTTTGAACCTACAAGTGCCTCGTGGCCGCTGGGTTATTTTGTGCCCAGCCAGACTGTGGCAGACAGTGTCTCACTGAGTTGCTTAGTGCCTCAATCCTAGCTGAAGCTGGCTTAACCTTGCAATCCTCCTGCCTCAGCCTCCTAAGCCACTGAGACTGAGTCGTGTGCCACTGTGCCTGGCTACATTTAGTCTTCACATGAACTTTACATGGGAGCTATTATCATTTATCCTCATTTTGCAGAGGAGAAAACCTAGGCACAGGGAGGACAAGTAACCTGCCTTAAAGCCATAGCTAGTAATTGATAGGAATTGAGAGTCATTCTGAGTTCCCTAGAGAGCATGAGCCCAAGGCCAGCATTAAAGTAATGACATTTAAGAGGAGCAAAACCAGGGCCTTAAGGGGAAGCTCATCCGGTGCTAAGGATGAACTAAAATGGGAGCAAGGTGAGGAGAGGCCCCACGCCCTGCACACCAGTTGGCCACCACCTCTTCTGAACCTCCCTGAGCTGTGGCAGCTTGCTTAAGAGCTGAGCTTCAGCACGTGGAATTCTGCTGGATCATTTGCAAGGAGAAACCACTTCCAGGTGCAGTCCACAAAGGAGAGAGGGAAAGAGTTATTTGTGTGTTTGTTTCCCTCTGATTCCCTTTTCTCATTGACCATGAAGCCCTCCAATGCGCGCTAATTACCCTTCCACACTCTCAGAGTTCATCGCCTCAGACTTACCCTTAACATTAGTATACCCTAGAGCAACCTAGGGTACAAAGAGAAGCTGCTGTGGACAGACTGGAAGCCCTAATGGTATTTGGATAGGAATTGAGAGTCATACCCCTGATGGTATTTGGAGGTGGGGTCCATGGGAGACCATGAGTTCATAAGGAAGGAGATTAGTGTTCACATAAGAAAAGATATACACAGCTAGACAGTGACCATCTGCAGGTTGACAAGAGCCCTCACCAGAAACCAAATCAACTCCCCAGCTTCCACAACTGTGAGCAACACACTTCTGTTGTTTATATATTACTCAGTCTAAGGTATTTTGCTACAGCAGCCCAAAGCTAAGCAAGCTGACTAATACAGAGACCCACATACCACCAAGCTAAATATTTAGAAGTTACACATAGGAAAACAAACTGAGAAATAGAATGTTTCTACTCTTCTATCTTGTCAAACACACTTTTGTTTTGACGTGAAAGGCCACATTAGAATTTAGAGCCCTAGGACATCATGCTATGTCACATCAGGTAGGGTGGGTAGGATACAGCCCATCTCTGTTCTCCAGCCTCTGGCCTCTCCCACAAATTAGCCCTAAATCATGAGTAATCTTATGTGCATACATGGGGGAACCAAGCTCTGGTCACAATCTTCATAATCACCCTTGGTCACACAATAGGCCTGGGGACTGCACGCTGATCAGGGGGCTGCCTTCAGGAAGTATGTCACTGCAGTCACTTGAAGCAGACTCAAGGTTACAGAGGCTGGGAATTGTGGGTCCACATTTCCACTGCATGGTCTGCAAGGGGAGGATAGGGACACTATGTTGACACATTCTCTGACCCCCTGGAATTTAATGGGAGTGGCATGGGTGGGCCAGAGTGGAACCCTCTAAAGTATGGGGCCTAGAGCAATATTCTTTGTTGCCTCCATCTGAGGAGAAGTCCTCAGGAAAACAGATCCCATGTCTGTGGTGTGGCATCTCAACAAAATCCAGAATGGCTCCCACCAAGAGAGAGAGAAAGAAGGAGCCAGCTAAGAGATTTGAGAAGGACAGAGGTGTCCAACCACAGCGGGAGCTGAACCATGCAGCCGGAATCCACAGCCCATTCCTCTACCTCTCTGCAATGCTGCTCACCAAGTCAGTGCTCAGGGGAGATGCCAGAGTAGGAACAGTCAGGAGAGCTTGGATGAATAGAGTGACAGGCATTTCAGGACAACCATGGGAGGCCTCTCTCAAGAATCTGAACTCAGCTATCTCCTGCCTACTAGATTATGCCCTCACCCATTAGATCAGTGTCTTGTCTTCTTCTTGTGATGATAATAATAACAGTAATAAGTGTTTCATGTACATTAAGGAAGGAAAGATCAACACACTCACAATGAAGCTTACGCATAAGGCATACTTACAGAACATTAACGCTTATGCCAAAAAACAAGCAAACAGGCTTGAAGAGAAGGGGCTGGTTGGAGGCGACAGAGCTCAGGAATTGTATCACAGTGGAGTTTGGGTTCAGAGTCCCAGAGCATCTTAATTGCAGCACATCGAGGCTATCCATGGTGCTGCTAAATTATGTCCGTTCATTTAGTCAGGCATTTATTAAGAGGGTTTCTGTGCCAGGTATTGATTAACTGCCAGGATAGAGATGTGGACAAGATCCTTCTCTGCTCAGGTTGCTCACAGGTCACAGGGGAAATGTACAGGTGAACTATGAGAGTAGCAGGTGAGCAGCACCAGCAATAAAGGCTGAAGGAAAGGCAGGGAGGACCCAGAGGATGGTCCCCAACAAAGGGTTCCATTGGACCCTCAAAGCTGAGTGGGAAGTAGCAAAGAACAGCAGGGAGACAGGGTGTATAGAGGCAGGAAATGCAAGCGTGACTGTGAACTCCCCTGAATTTGGAGCATACATTGGGTTTGAAGGGTGCAATTGTCAGACTGTTGAAAGTCTGGGTAGAGATGCTGGGAGCCCTGGTATGATTTTAAGACCGGAAGAGACCAGACCAGAGATTTGTATCCTGCATGCTCACTTTGTAATGAAATGACCTCTTTCCAGGCTTCTATCCCCTGCCCTGTCTTTGGGCCTCTAGGGGACTGTGTTGAATTCACTTTCTAGGCCTAGTGCCTTACAGAATGCCTGACATTCATTTGCTAAATGAATGAATGAATAAATAAATGAATGAAGAAAAACACACACACACAAATTGGCTACCTGATTGTATCCTGCTACTTGAACTTTCTTCTTTCTTTCTGCACTGTTTCTGATTTTAGTTGAGAATTGAACGAGGGCTCTGCACACAGGCCCTGAGGCTGTACTTCTGTGTGTGTATGTTTTACATCAGCCAAACCAAATAAACAAACACATGGCAGAACCCCAGGCATGTGGCTCCTTCACTTGGCACAGCCAGCTGGCACGTGGCTGCCCCTCCTTAGACTCCCCAGCACCTCCCCATAGAGTTAGGATACTGCCTTAAGGGATCTGTAAACCCCCACACCCCGCCTTCCCCTTCTCCAGTAGCAGCAGGACTCCAGGCACACACTGATCTACCCCTTTTAATTAGGGGGAATTTGAAATGACTTCTGCTTGAAATTCTTTGAAGAATTGGTTGTTGACCCTTAAGACAACCAGGACTCCACTGATAAGTCAGTGGCCAAGGTACCAGGCAGGGAATAGGGATCTGACCCCACACCCCCAAATGCACTTCTTACTCCACTTGGCTCCTTCCAACTGGACCAACGGCCCACTCCCACAAATTGCTCTGGGGAACCTTATGGTTTCCTTCTGGGGGTGCCCAGCTCGTCAAGGATCCCAAATAAAAATAAGTGTTCTCAGTATTCACCTCCACCTCTGACACTGAAGCCTTCCTGGATTTCCCCAAACCAGTCAAGTACAATCTTATTCCCAAGGGCCCCAGTCAGGAAAGGGGGCTCATTCTAGACTCTTTCTCCTCCCTCATCCCACTGAGTTACTAACCTGTGTCCTCCTTCCTGTCCCCTCTGCTACTGTCCTGTTTCATGTGCTTCTCATCTGTCTGGAATTGTGAACCGGCCTCCTATGGATCTCCTTGCCTCCACTCTCTTCTTTCTTGAATTCCTTCTTTCCAGACACCATCTAGTCTTTCTCAATTACGGGTTTGATCCAGTCAACATTCCCTCACCATATTCCTATAGTCATACAACTCCCACATTTTGGGGACCACTGAGAACAAACACTGCATTTCCCAACCCCTTTGCAGGAAAGTGTGGCTACTACACAGTTCTGATTGATTGATAGCATTTACCTTCAAATCGAGTATGAGATTTTAAGCAGCATTTTTAAAGGGAAGTAATGTTCTCTTTGTCATCTTGTCTTCTTTCTTGCAGATAAAATACAGATTTGATGACCGGAGCTGGAGTAATCATCTTGGGCTATAAAGTGACCTTGGCAGCAGAGGTCATGTACAGCAAGAGAGAAACACACCACCCTAAACCTGGCTCTTCCTTCCAAACAGTCACTGAGGGAGAAACTTCTATCCTGATTAAGCCACAGCTATTTCCGGGTTTTCTGACACTCCAGCTGATCCTAATTCTAATGAATTATCACTTACAGCAGGGGTCTGGAACACAAATACCATGAGGAGCCAGGTAGGCAACTAAGGGATGCCTTCAGGGAGCTGAAGGCTAGGAATGGATTTGTTTATTTATTCATTTTTATTTATTGAGTCTTTCAACTTCTCCTTTAACAGGATTTATAAGGTTCTGTTATGTACCAGGTACTCTTAGGCACCAGGAGAGCAAAGATGACTTGGACTAGGTCCATTTTTGGCGGAAACCAGGTCTGGCTGGGGAAGACAGCATTTTAAATAGATAAATACTGTAAAGTGTTATGGAGACTGCAATAACTGGTGGGCAAATAGCAAAAGAAGTTTTTGTTTGTTTGTTTAAAGTGAAGTCAAGTCTAAGGACCTGAAAACAAAAACTTCAAAGAGGAAGTAACCCCTCTCCCAGAAGAGAAGTGAAGAAGGGAATTCTGGGGCCTTGACCAGGGCAGAATTCTCTTTAGTGGATTGCAAGCAATTTGGTAGATGAGAGCCCAGGCGAGTTCCTGCAGAAGGAAATAGGCAGGGGCAGTTGTCCAGCCTAAGAAATTCTAGATCTGGTCTGGGTTAGTTCTCTAGCCGTTTTTTTTTTTTTTTCCTCACTGAGTGCTTTACAGAATTGGTTAATACTGGGGAACCCTGGCTCCTTTCTAACAGTACCACGCTAGCAGACATGAGGCTTTGGGACTGTAGCCATGTCTAAGGATATGATGCCTAGTATGTCTTCTTTGAATTTTGGTGAAAAGAAGTTTTCCCGAGGATTTTTGTGTTTCCACTGCTCTGCTCCAGCACCCCAAGCAAAAAGTCCCAGGGGTTCAGGTGATATTTAAAATACAGAACAATCTAGAGTTGCACAGGACTGACCACTGAGGTCCCACCAGTTGGTGTGGGAACCCACTGTACCTCAACCCTGCCTGAAAGAGATTTTTATAAATGATTTCATAAAAGTGACTTACTCACTTGCATTTTTTATTAGCCTGAAAAGAGAAACGTTAAAAGCAGGAATTACAAAAGCAAAAGTCACAGATGGTGGCCTCTCACTAATTTCCACTTTGCACTCATTGCTACTTAATCTTAGGATGCAGCCCTACTCAAATATCACTGGAGAGCAATGGCATCTGAGTGGCCAGTGGCTGGGCACAGGGCAGCAGATCAAGCGGTCATTGTGCCTCCGTGGCTTCCCTGAGGGGCTCCCTGCATAGTGGTCCTTTTCACTCTTCAAATGCAGTCCCCAATCCCCACTGCAGACTCTGCGTGACTCTGCCCTGTCTGTCCATCTTTTACAATTTCTTGTGCTCCAAACTGTCCTAAGTAGCCACAGGGAACACATACCTGACATATTTTCCCCTCTTGAAGCGCTCTCCTCCAGGGAAAACTCTCTTCAAAGAATGCCTTCAGAGAATAGAAAAGAACAAGGAGGAGCTACATTTGTCAGCCGATAAGGACCTTAGAAATAACTCCTCCAGCTGCTCATTTCTAAAAGTGGAAAGCTGAGACCCAGAAAACTGGAGTGGTTTGCCTAAAAGCACACAGAACACTTCGCAAAATTCTTCAGCAGTTTGAAGTGTGTGTACTTTCCAATCCCTTTCTCTGCTTACACCTCGTAAACATATTTTGAACAGATGGAAGAGTTAGTCCACTGCAGTTAACCCCACAACCCCTAGCACACAAACAGTCCCTGTGGTAAGGGGACTACTTAGGGGTCACAGCCTTTGGGGACCAGTGGCCCAAGCCTGTTAGGAGACCAAAATGGCTCTGGAAAGCTAGGTGGCAGAAGGACCTGGAGGATGGGGGGATGGGGTTGGAGAAGCAGCAGGAGCCCAGGTGCTGGGAGGGGGCTGGGCTTTTCTTTCCTGGTCTGGAAGCTTTGAACCTCTTGGGCCCAGTAGGTGGGCAGCAGAGTTGGGAGCATTAGCATTTGTTTTTCTACTTTGATCCTTTGTCTTTCTTGTTGGCAGGAGCCTCACTCCTCTAAAAGGAAGGAGGGGGACACCTTGATTGATCTGAAGAAGAAAATGAGCATGAGAATGTGTCTTCAATAATATGAAACCCAGCCTTGTCAAAGCCCACTGATTGACTCATTAGAGCCCCAGGAGTCATTTCCTGGCCTTTCTCACCCCTCTCAATTTTCCTCATCTACAAAATGGGAGGGTTGGACTAACTAGTTCAGTGATTTTCAAACTTTACCATGAGTATATGCACCTCATTTTGTGGGGTGGGGGTCTCAATCAATACCTAGAATTCCAGCACTCACAAGCAAAGCACAGCCTTTGCTCTGACTGAAGCTCAAGTCAGGGATCCAGCCTTTTTCACCCCCTCCCAAGGGCAGCGAACTCCCAGGTTCCACAGCAATCCCTGGAAACAGCTTGAGAATCTCTGGACTATCAGGCCATTCAGAGGCCTTCCTGCTCCCTTTACAAGTCTAGATTTGTCTCAGAGGGAACTAACTAACCTACGTGTAACATTTATTCAGCGAAACATTCCTGCATCTTGTGGACATCTTTCTCTGTAATCCTAAAACTGACCCCATGAATTAGGAAATGCAGGGACTCTGGCCCAGTTACAGACATGAGGTGACTGAAAGTCAGAAATAGCACAATTCACCCAAGATGTGGTGCAGACTCTGCCCACCTTTCAGGTCTCGTCTCCTGTTGTGCTGTCATGTGCAGACCACACACTCTAGCCTTAACTCAGTGGCCTCTTGCCATCTGATTGTCTCCTGGAGATCAGGACATTGGGCCAGATATGAGGGGCAGGTACAGGATTGGAGAAGAAGTTACATTCTGATATTGAAGACAGAATCAAAGGGCAGGTACTTACCCTAAGCTTCCCTGGGATGATGGTGTTTCCACTCCTGAGCAGTCTACCAGAGAGGAGCAGGAAGAAGCAGACACTTGGTTGAGAGGCTGCAAATTTTCTCAAGTCTCTTTCCACCCTGTGACAGGCCCAAGTTCAGATCTTTGAAGTACATCGGGTTTGTACTCTACCCACGCACTGTGCTGTGCTCTGGGGCAGCAGAAATGAACATGGACACCCCTTCCCTGGAGAGATCTGGAAATCCAAATTAACAATTAACCGAGCAGGACTCCTGGGACCTAAGTCCCACCCCCTCCCCGGCCTGAGAACCTGTGTGGAATTCAGAACTAAAAGTGACTAAGAGGGTCAGTATTCTGGTCCCTTTCATCTTTATTCTTATTCTTTGTTGTCCATTGCCCTGATCATGATTTTGTTGAGACCTGAAGCTATTCACAGTATATGCTTAGTCTTTCATCCGAGATTGCACAATTTTACTGACTTCTTCAGCTGTGCTTACCACTCAATTGTATTTACATTGCTTCAGCCTTTTCTGTCCTTGTTTGCCACTAAACTAGCATGAAAAGATGCAACTTTAGTAGAATGGAAATAGACTATTGTTCTCAGTGCTGTGCGCCTTTAATAACTGTGATCTAAGGGAGGATTCAATTACATGAAACAATATATAAAACATATTAAGATGCATCAGACACATAATAGACACTCAATATTTGTTAGCTATGATAATTAGACATATATATATATATAAATGGGTGTATATATATACACATAGATATTTCAGAATATATATATATATATGTGTGTGTGTGTGTATGTATACACACACACATACACACACATACTCACATATATTCAAATTGATGGTTACCTGGAAGAAGAAAAGAAGTTCCATTATTCCAGGTCCTTCTTGACTCTCATTATCAAGTGGTCGCTTGACTATGGCCGCTGTGAGTTAAACCATCTGCTTTCTACTATTTTTTTCCCCTGCTTAGCATTTTTGTTCTCACCCCAAACATGTTGTGACTGTTTGTCATTTATGACACCACTCTTAACCTGGAACTGTCCAGGGAAACAGAGAAATGTCCATTTTCCCTTCAATTTTAATCATACATTGAGGACATCATGAGGTCAATTCCCCATTCATGAGTGTTTCAAGCATTTACTCTGTGCTCAGTGCTAAGGCTACAGAGATAAATGAATCACGATCCCTACCCTTCAAAAACTTCAATATATAAACAAAGTAGGCATATTAGCCACATCCAGGTATGAATAAAGTGTCGTCTTGCATGTGGCAGGTATTCCTGACATGCCAGTTAAAATGAAACTGCCCCACCAAGAAAGATGAACCAGCAACAACTCCCATTTTTTTTTTTTTTTTTTTAGAATCAAAACAAATTGCATAGTATTATTTCAGGTGAGAGAGTTGTTAAACAGCTATTCACTCACTCCCTCTATCATAGACACATGACCTGTTTTGGTAGAAGTGACAGTGTTTCAGTCCTGAGCCCAGGGATTGGGGAGCACTGTATGGTTCTACTTGCTCCCCTGAGAGCTTCCCACCTTCTCCTTGAGAAGCACACACCTCAGATAACTACTGTACTACAGCATGGGCCCCTATACCACGATAGGTCTGTGTAGTCCAGATCTGAACTTGAACCCACCTCAGGTGAGTCATGTCTGCTCTTCACTCATTACAGAGATGTCCTTGCCACCAGCAGATGCATGTGATAGAAAGCAATGTTTATTTTTCATGTGTTTAGGTCCTATGGTTGTTTATTACTCAGCAAAAGCTGACTGACCCTGTGTTCCTGATCCTTTGCTCAATATGACGTGATCTACCCTCTCTAGCCTCATCTTCTAGTTGTACCAAACAATTAATCTGTTCCCAGCCCACTGTGTTCATTCAATTTTCCATGACGTTCCTCGCGAAGTTTCTTCTGTTTGAAATTCACTTCTTTACCTACTCATCATTCAAGAGCAGAATCAAATTATCAAATTTTAGTTTCCCTTTGATGCCTTACAGACCCCTCTTTATTTACACCACACACACACACACACACACACACAAAGAACCAAAACTAAAGTGAATAATAAATTGTTAATTCACTCCTTGAATAATAGTTGGGTGCTGTGTTGATTAACATTTTGTTCCATCATCAAAAAGAACAACTTGAAGAAGGAAAGATTTATTCTGGTGCATGGTTTCAGAGGTCTCAGTCTGTGGTCACCTGATTCTACTGCTGTGGGCCTGATGTTAGGCAGAAAATCATGATGGAAGAGCATGGCAGAGGGAGGCCTCTCAGCTCTTAGCAGCCAGGAAAGAGAAGGGGTGAGGAGGGAACAAAAATAGGCATAGTCCCCAAGGCCACACCCCCAGTGGCCTATTTCCCCCAGCCATGCCCCACCTGCCTATTGTTTTCACCACCTCTGGGTAAGTCCATTTAAATTATTACTCCATCAAATGGATTAATCCACTGAGGAGATAACAGCCCATATGATTCAATCATTTCACTTCAGAACTTTGGCTGCACAGATAACACATGAGATTTTTTGGGTGACATTTTAGGTCTGAATCATAACAGGTGCCCTCTCTATGACAGACTCCTCTGTGTGCCACTTGAGTCCCTATTCAAATCCATTATAAGACCCTTATCCCTTTGCACTGCAATTTGGCTATTTAGGAGGCCAGCTCAGCACAAGCCTTTACGTCTTCCAGGGCAGAGGTGGTCTCTTTTAGCTCTATAACTGGGTAGGAGGACAAGCATGCCCAGTTGAAATATCAGCTGAATTCAATCTCCTGATAAACAGCAGTTGACAGATATGTGGTCAGTTCCCTGGCAGACAGGAAAAGAGGTCAGAGGGTCACACAGCTGGGGCTGATGCTGCTCCCACCTGTGGGCCTGGCTCTGCCCCAGTTCCAGAGCAAGGCAGGAAGTTCTTAAGCACCTTTGGAACCCAGTCCAATGGGGCTTAGTGTTGATTCCCCCTGTTTGCTGGCCTCATCTGTGAGTCATTGCCCCAGGACTGGGTTCAAGATTCCACAGATTTTCCTGAATCTCCTTTGTTGGTCTGGTCTGGGAGGTGCTTGGTGTTAACTACCAGGCTTCTGTGCTGCACTCCCCATTAGCTGAGGCATCTCCAGAGAACTCAGGTGTTGAACTGGGCCTTCTTGCTGAGTGCTGCCTGGTACAGGACTAGACTATTTAGTTTCAAGTTGGTGACTTCTCCAGTCACCACTTTAAGGAAGCCGGGCTTTCCTGCTTGTTCTTGCTAGCCCCCTCCCCAGTTACGGACATTCTCCTGATTCCCACTTGATACCTGGGGTCTGATCCTGATGCCAGCTGCTTTGGACATGGATGATGGAGTGTAAAATATCCATTAGGATTTGGTGACTCGTCTACCATTAAGTACTCTCTCTTAGAGGGTAATAGGGGCTTCATTCCAGATTGTGGAGAGGGCTTGTTTTATTTATACCACACACAAAAAGAACCAAAACTAAAGTGAATAATAAATTGTCAATTCACTCAGTGAATAATAGTTGGGTGCTGTGTTGGTTAACATTCTGTTACCATGACCAAAAAGAACAACTCAGAGAAGGAAAGATGAACCAGCAGCAGCCCCACCTAGAAAGATGAGCCAGCAACAACTGAAAAAATATAACTGAATAAATGGAAAGACAAATGCCTCGCCTCAGACCCTGCCTTTTACAGAATGAGAGAGCAGAGTGAACATAGCCATTCAAAATTTTGGTCTTAAATCTTAGTTTTCTCACTCTCTTATTCTTCCCTCTACACAATAAGCTTCTCTTGCTGATCCTAGCAATTCCCACATCCATCCTTCTCCATCAGCCACCCCTAACTTCCAACCTCCCACTGTTTTTCTGTCCTCTCTATTTTGGCCAGTCCCTTCTGGTACAGGTCTTACAGATGGATGTGCCCACTGTGAAGCACCTTCTGGAGAGTTCTAGAATGCCCATCCTAAGGGCACTTGCCAGAAGCCTCTGGATATCAATCTGAACCTTTATATTGTCTCCAGGGCCAAACTTGTCTCAACTTTCCAATATGATCAGAAAGTGCTGACCAATGGCACTTTGCCAGTTTTAACAGGAGAACCTTTACCTTCACTCCTGCATCTTACTCAGCTACGCCCTTAGCCCACCCCATCACACTGTGACAGTTGAGGGGAGGGGGCCCAAGGCAGCTTTGCTGGAACTCAGCACTTTCCCATTTCCTTCTAATGCTGTGGTGAGTAACCTTGCTTCATTACTAAATTCCAAGATGGGACAGGGAAGGGAGAAGGACCAGACATCATTCCACTCCCCAGCTTCTGATCTCTTTCCTCAAAAGACCCTGAGCAAATGATTCTGCCAGGAACCCTCCATGCCAGATCTTGAAAAGGAGAGTAAAGCAAGAGAAAGACCCCTTCAGAGGACATGTAGACCTGTTGAGCTGGGATTGGTGAGGGCTTCAGAGCAATTCCTGGGGAGGATAGCATGGGCTACCCTCTCCTGACCTCAAGAACAACTTTAGATCCTAGTTACCTGTGGACTCAATGGGCTACTGAGAAGCCCCAATTCTGGGAGCCGCAAGTTGGTAGGATCCTCCTAGGAAAAAACACGAAAGAGGAGCGCAACTTCTGGACTCTTCTGAATAACCTATTTGAGAATCTTGGGAACCAAAGAACCAGAGGTACATTGCAATCCAGCTAATCTACTCAAAAACCTCTGTAAGAGGCCTTCCTGTTTTAGAACACCACAGGCAACAGAGACCTCTCTGCTTCCCAAACCATACACAGCATCTTCACGTGTTAGTTACTCCCATAAATTGAGCTGAAACCTGTCTCTCTAGCAGACAGTGTGTTAAACAGTCTCTCACTCTTCCATTTGAGCTCCTGTGGTGCCCCAGCTTTGGAGGGCCTTGAGCACTCCCAAGTAGTCTAATCATCCCTCCATTTATTGCTACACTCTTCTAAAGCAGCCTATTTCTCTTTAAATGTTCCTCTGGGGCTAAGATGAGTGTGGGATAAGAAGATAAAGTCGGGATTTCGGAAGCACATTTTAGGCCAGTAAAACACCCAGATGTCTCCAAGGCATTTATTTATCCCCACCGCCTAACGGGAAGCATCACCCAGCCTAAGATTCCAGGCCCTTTGAACTCTGGGTCATCGCAGGACCCGTGACAGGCCAAGGGAAGCCCCCACCCCACAGTCACCCCCACTCCACGCCTGTACATGCTTCT